GGGGGGGGGGGGGGGGAGAGAGAAGAGGGAGAGGAGAAGAGTATATCGAAATAGGACGATGGGTGGTTATCAGAGTCGGAGAGTTTGCCGGGGGTTCCTTCGGTGGGATTCGAGCAGAGGTGGTTAACGTGAGAATTCCATTCATCGAAAAAATCCATCTCGTCAATCTGGTGTAGGGTTTAGGGTTCGAGAGAAGCTCGAGCAAGTTCAGCTTGCCGGTCTGAATCTTGGATGAATTCTGAAAGCCTCTTACCAATTTGGAAAAGTCGGTAAACTTATCTCCCACGCCCACTAAATTCCGACAAAACCAAGGACTCTGCAAGTGAGTGCTCGGAGACAATCGGGGCTAGCGGGGGGCGTGACGTATATTCCGGGCTGGAGAAGATTCACAAGATTCTTCATACCGTTGTTGGCGCGAACTGCTTCTGCTGCTGCTCCATCGAGCAGCGATCATTCACGCAAGACACTAAAACGGCATCGTTTCGTTGGTCCTCGATGGGATCTATAATCGAACATTTTATTTAACAAAACCGATTGCCCCACAGAATTTGAACTTAGACCCAATTCTTCTACCTGACGGCTAAAAATGAAGCAACAGTGACCAAAAAAGTAGCAAGAATGACAATGACAACAAAGGAGATGGCCGCTGAGACGAAGGACAACAAGAGAAACCGTAAAGTGAAATAAAATCTTAGCAACTGCAAGTTGACACCCACGCTTTAACCCTAAAAAAAAAAAGTGCATATCTCGGAATTTACTTACACCCCCGCATACTCGTATATAAAGTGATACATTCGCGTATATATATTGACAAAAGTCTCTTTCCTGAGAGGATAACAACAATTTCTATAAAACTACCTGAAGCGCTTGCGCACTCGGAAGGAATTTGCACAACCAAACAACGTAATTGAAAGCTGCGGTCTCAAGTATCACTCCAACCATCAGAATCATCATCTTCGTCGCTTCCAGCCATTGCCTGCTTCATCGTTTCATCGTTTCAGATTGCAAGTTTTCACACACACACACACACACTGTCTTTGTTCATGAGAGAGAGAGAGAGAGAGACCTGGCGTATGGTGTTTGCCTTCTCTAAGATGGCAGCAACCTTTAAGTTTGTTTTAGGACCGGCTTGTATGTTGGGTCTTGTCATTGCCGCAGGCTTCAGATTGAACGACTGCATAGTTTTACATGAACATCTCTCACAAACAAAACCCAATGGGATCACCATTAAGACTTTTCTTAACTCGCTCTTGGATTGGATATATATATTTTTGTTTACTTGGGTTAAATTGAACAAAGACAAACGCCCATGGTATTTATTGTGCATGTTACCTTGTTCCGTATCTGCACCAAGAACGAATTGTTCTCTTCTTCGTTCGACGATGTAGGAAGCGGTAGTACCCTCTCCGACACCTTTCTCAGCTGTCAAAAACATATCACAAATAATAATAATAATAATAATAATCAGATAGATGCATAGAGGGATGAAGTGTTGAAAAGATGTGGATCGTTACCGTTTTTCTGTCATGGGCAGCAACAGCATCGACAAGTGGACTTCTCGGCCGGGGAAGCTTAACCGCAGGGATTTCATTCGGTTTCTCAGAGTCCAAGGTTGGTGCAACAGCGAACGCACTGACAGGCCACATTGCATCATCAGGCACTAGTATCTTCTGAACAGATGGCTCCACGGTTACTCTATCCAAATCCTGCTCTTCCTCCGTTATTTGCTTAGGCGCATCAGGATGCTTGTCAGAATCTCCTGCAATTTGTTCAGATGTGATGCATTGTTTGAGATCTTCATCAACTACAAGGTTTGAGCCAAAATCATCCGGCATGCTAACGGGCTGGATAGAAGGATCAGCTGATTGAGTACTCTGAAAATCACAACTCTCATATTCACCATTGAAATCAGTTGTTGGTAACTGAGAATGTGATAATGACGGCTTATCTGGTGAATTGTTCACAATCTCTGAAGGAAGCTGACCACCTAGAGATGTTGTATGTACGGTCTGGGCTGATGGTGCAATCCCGAACTGAGGAGACTTAATTTCAACTGGACTAAAAAATGGTTGGGTCCTCCCTAAACGCCATTGCATAGGAGGAAGGGGCGGCAATGGAGGCACCTCCTCCATGGAGGGTGGATCTGTCTCGTGAATCAAACCGGATCTAATAAACGTAGATTTCGTGGAACTGTTTGATTGTGGTACAGATTCATAGGGTAAGCCTAGCCAGACATCAGAACCGAAAATCACTTCATCTGAAGGCTCGTGCATCTCAATCGATTGCTCTAAGAGAGTCTCAAATAGCTCCAAAGAAGAGGAATCTACGCAGTTATTGAGACGAGTGCTCTCATTGGGAGATTTTGTTTCTTCTGAGTCCATGTCACTGATATTTTGAGATGTCTGGAGAGTTACGGCCTCACCATTTAGAAAGTCATTGTCATCTAGGGCAACTGATGATGAGTGCTGGAAATGATCCAAACCTTCCGAGGGGTTTGGCTGTATATTTCTTTCTAACTCTGGATTACATTCTGTTTCTGCCAAGAGTGTCCCGTTGGACACCAGAACTTTATCATGGCAAAGCTCTCCGGCTCCAGAAGGTGTTTCTTCTGTTTCGCCCGAAGGAGAACATGTTGAACTAGGAGAGCATTTGCTCGTGTAGGCATCACTACCAGACATAGCAAGCTCTTCTTCAGGGGCTTCATTGTCCAGCCTTACATGTTCATGAAACCCTTTATTGTCCAGATAACTGGAATGAGATTCACCGGATATCTCGTTCAGCTGCTCACTGCCAACGCTAGAAGCATCTCCCGTCGATATTTTGTCTTTTGAGATAACTTCAGAAGTCACCTTACTGTCAACAACTTCAGTAGGTATCAGTGTTCTATTCACCAGATTGACTTCAGAAACAGAATCATCAGGAGTGGTGCCAATTGCAGGTGAATGTTCACTGGAGAGCTCAACAACTGATGTTTGGTAACGAGCTTCTGGAACTGTCTTAGTCTCTGCCACATTCTCACCATCGTCATCTAGAATATTGTGTGAGTGGATTTCAGATACTGTAAAAGGATCTCCAGTTTTAGAGTCCTTGTAATTAGGTGAAATTTCCACCCCCATACCTTCTGAGCAAGGTAATTGTTGATCTATTGGGCTTACATCCGACAGTCCACCAGTGCCTAAATGCGTTAAATTTTCAGAAATAAAATCAACTGTGCAGTTTGTTTCAGTGGCATCGCCAATGGCAGTATCGTATCTATTTCCTTCAGAAGCTGAAACAACCAACGAAGCTTCAGAAGAGAAGTTTGGGTCTTTATTATCCAAAAGAGTATCAGAATTTGAAGAATCAACTGCGCCAGTTCCGCTTTCATCAGTATCTCCTCTCTTCAGATCATGTTCAGGAGATTCTGGAGAAGTTTCACCAATTTCTGGTGCTAAAGATTGAACTATTGACAAATGTAATTCAGCATCCTGAGAAACAGATCGAGGACTAGAACTTGTACCATGTGAAGTAGGTGATGCCTGGCGGTCCACATCATTGCCGCAGATCAATCCCTGCTCACGGGTATCAGACCCTCGAGCATCCTTATTCCCATGAGCAACATCAGGTGAGAATTCCACTAGTTCACTCTTACAGCTACCAGTAGAAGGTATGGTTTCAGCAGTTTTCTCTCTATCAGACGGATCATTTTCAGTGGATATGCTTCCAGCATCAGAGTAAGAAAAAATAGATCTCCATCTCAAAAATGAGCTGTGCCCATTTTCTGAGGCTGATGTGTTTCCTACTGATTGAGAATCTGAAAATTGTGGTGGATCCTCCACCTTTTCCTCATCAATATCAGAACCCGAGTCATGTTTTCCAACGCTGAAAGCAACTGATCTGTTCCTAGGTCTACCATCATCATCTGTTTCTGTTTCTGACTCCATGGTGGCATGTGCATCTACATAATCTTCAACCTCAGTGGTTAAATCTTCAGAATAACTCCTAACCTGAAGACCCTCTGGTATTCCATTCGCATTTGTCTGCGCATCCTTTTCAACAATTTTATCAGAAACTGTGGATGCAGTTTCCCCTGCCTCATCATAAGTAGATTCAGGCACTGCCTCTATGTCTTTGTCGATGAAATCTCCATTTAAGTTGTCTTCTGGTACATTATCCTGTTCGTTTAGTGATGGAATCACTGTTTCTGTCCCTTGGAATGATTTTTCCACAACACCAACCACATTGATTTCAGGTACTGAATCTCTGGCATCTTCCATATTCCACATCAATAATTCTGGGCTTGAAGCAATTCTTTCATATCCTGTATTATGAGGTAGACAAGTCTGCACAAACTTTTCCATGTAGCTTTCCTTTGACTTTGAGATAAGTGAATATCCATCCAGTTTTCTTGTTTTCAACTTCACAAGACGTGCTGGATCTGAGTGAACACCTTGTACATGCTCCTCAAGAAACAGCTCATGCAATCTGTAACGGTTGGCAGATTGAAATACCAATCGTTGGTGACAGTTAAATACAAATGGAGAAAACAGAGGAAACTAAATATATGATAGAAATGACAAATATACAAGACATGGAATAGGAACACTCGCTTGGTATGTGATGTTGGTGTTGTTTCAGGTGTTCCCCCATTCCTCCACCCTGATCCTCGTTTCTGCAACCCAATAAAATAAAACGAAGGATTGATTAAGGAACCACCACAAGGAAAGGAAGAATTGTACATTCAAGAACGCAAAGACAGGGTTGCTGAATTGGTCCAAATTAGAAGGTTTATGCTCTAAGCACAGTGATATACTGGGACAATACGAACGCGCTTTATTAGATCAGTAAATACACCATAAAAGGGGGGAAACTTATATCAAGAAGCACTATGTTGCAAAACCCATGCTATAGCTTGAAGATAACAAGCTTTCCCTTTCGGCAGTACCTTTGTTTTACGCGATTTCTTCTCTCTCTGTAATTCAGCCAAACATGCTTCCGAGGACGATGTTTCGAGCCTAAAGAATGATGGATCGGTGTAGCGCTTCAAGCATGCCCCAGCTCCCGCAACATCAAATCTAATAGAAATGGTAGAATAGATGTTATAGCTACCGCCCTAACAAATTGATCGCAGAAGAAAAAAAGTTGTCAGTTGTTACTTGAAAAAATACACAAATCATACTTGTCCAGAAGAAATAGTTGTGGGGGACCTCGGCAGGCCTCATACGAATCCATTACACAACGAGGTAAATCCCCACGGGTAATCATACTCTGTTCCAATTGCGCATTTGGATGCCAGTCCATACCTATAATAGAAGTACAGAATCATGTCAACAGGATCGTAAAAGCTAAAATTACAAGGAACGCCAATAACAGAAACACTTAATCTATCCAGAGATTATCTATGATATGTTAATATAAAGAAACAAGCAGGCAATCAGATATTATCGGTATCTGCGTCTACTAGAGCTTTAATTAAACTTTCCCATCTGCAAAGTAACGAATACAAAATATTTGAGATGCTAACATTGTCGTCTATCATATACAGACCAAAACAAATTTGCTTCAAGCATATGAATCCCTTTCAGTATTACGTGAACAAGGTCATTTTTGGTCTTTCTAGTGCAATCCACCTAATGCCATAAAGCAATACTCTAGGAAGGCATATCTGACCTGTGTTGGAAAAAAATGTTGAATGATCGGTCCGGGAAAGCAGGGCCTTCTCAACTGAAGGGAATTCCACCTCCAATTGCTGCACACGAACCATCAGATCGTGGCCTCTTGCAGCAGTCGTCATTACTTCTTCGTGCAAGTCATGAAACATCTCAGCAGCAAACCTTCGTTCGAACAGCAAGAGGGTTAATCAAACCGATCAAATATATGACAAATTCCCGCTCCCGGGATCAAATTCCAATACAAACTCATCGGATTCATAAAATGTTACAACAATTATCCCCGCGATTCCAAATCTCTCAGTCTAACGATGAGTCAACGGCGGTGAACTCCCAAGCTCCGAAATCAACACCAATTCAAGTCAATTGCGGAAAATTCCAACACCGAGCAAAAATCAAATGGCTAAAGAAAGAGAAACTCACTCGGCAAGGTCACCGAGTTGACGCAAGATGCCGACGAGCCCAGCCATGGCGACTCCTTCGAGCAGAGCTTCGGGATCATCCTTATCGGCGGCGCGGTACAGTTCCGGATCCGCCAATCCATACTCATTCCGTATCTGGCACCGCGTCAACGGCATTATTATTCCTCTCCAGCTCTTCAACCCCGAAGTTCCTGTTCAATGCCAGAATTCACCAGCAAGAAACCCTAGTTCTTCTCCTCTCACTCTCTGCCACTCGCGAACGCTTACGTTTAGATCTTCTACAGATAAAACACCATTGCTGTCAAGAATCGGACCGCCTTTCTATGGATTCGAGACGATTGAATGATGGAAGAATCATGGACGAAGAGTCTGAGAAAGACAAATTCCTTGAGAACCTATGTGTAATCTTTCCACTTTATTAATCTGTAAAAATGAAAGAGGTGTGGAAATGGAAGCCGGTTTGGGAGGTCGAGCTCCATATGTTCGGTTTTGGTGAGTGGCTGTTTTAATCTGATTCCGGTTCTGCCGAACTCCCCCCGGTTAACAGATTGGAGACGCCATCGACGGTTTACTGAGACATGGAACCGAACAAATAAATAATTCGGATGAAGCCAAGCGAACGCGCATCATGCCGTTGGAATCGTGTTAAGCAACCGTGTTTTTAGTTTAATGTTTAATTATAAATTAGAGTATGGTGTGTTTGAACTATTTAGATGATTCGATCAATCTATATTCTAATTAATTAAAACTTACTGGTATGCATTGATGTGTAAATTAAATACGAGGCGATGATGATGAGAAACTGTGTGTGTAACATGCATCGACAAGTATCCACATTACCGTACATCTCTCCATCGATTTCGTGAAATTGTTTGTGGTGAGGTTGCGCATATCTTTCCTTGCACGTGAATAAAAATCAATATGGACCGCCCCAAACCAAATCTGTACGAGTTTGACTTGCCGTAAAAGTGAAGACATGACCCATTGAAAAGGCCCCATTTATCGAGCTCAAACCTGTGTGATTTGAAAATTGTTACGATGCACATAAAAATCAAATCAATTATTTTAAAAGGACAAATATTAGCTATCTAAATAATTTGAGGAAAAAACTGGTTCCATATTGAATCCATCGAATCAAATACTTTATTAGGTAAGCGTCTCTTAAAAAATTAAGACATCTCGATAGTTAAAACCATTATTTGATTTAATTTTATTCTCCCTTATATGATATGGACCAACAAAACAACAAAAAATAACTATATTGCCACCATTTCATTTTTTTAAAAATCAAAGAATTCTTCATTATCACCACATTTTTTTTAGAGGATCACGATCAAGAAAAGGGTTGGTGGTGGTGCTAAAAAATAGTTCATATTTTTATATGTATAAATCGATTGAGTAAAAAAAAAAAGAAATTATAGACGTAATATGAATGATGCTTCATGGCTACGTATAGGTTACACCGTCGGATTTTTTTTGCATGTGTTAAAAAAAATCCAAAATTCGCATCATATTCTTTTTTCTAACGAATCATTGATTGGTATTAATTATAACAAGGTCCGTTATAATGCAAGCTTTGAATCTAAAGAGATTATCGGACAAATCGTAACAAACCATATTTGCACGGTCCCAACACATTTCTCTTTTTAAATTAAAATGAACATGAGCTTATTTCATTGCCTAATGAAGTGCCCAACTCAACTCGTCGAGTATTTACAAAATATTAATACCGATTAAGGTGGTATAGCCGCCTCCAATTCTTGAAACCCTTCGCACGGTTCACTTTCTTCCATGTCTATTTTTGACTAAAGGGTCATTTCTCAATAATCTTATTTCGAATGATCATATAAATAAAAGCCCTATAATCTTTAATAAACTAAATGACATGTTGGATTGTGGAGTTTGGTGAGTTCATGGTTAGTTGATATCAAACAATCATATCAATGGATAAATCACATCAACAGTGATAATTTTTTTTTCAGGAACACAAACAACCACCGAGAATAAATGTAGACCAATAGGCTGAGAAATGGAGCCCACATTGGAAACTGGCAAGCAAAGTTCAGTTCTGTTCTAACCATCCAAATCTTTGCCCACATCAGGGTTTGATCATGGCTTCCCAGACCTTTAACCCGGGCGAAACACCCTTATCAGCCATACTAGCTAGAAATTCCACAGCTTTATTCACAAAACCTTTCTGACAACCTGCAAATCACCTCGTCCGTTCTTGAACTCTGAATGCTCAAGCTCTTGTTGTGAAACGCTTCCTCCAACAAACCACACGCTTGATAAACTTCATCTAAACCCATCGATCATAATACCATACGTATGTTTGCTCTGATCAACTCCTTTCATCTCCATCTCTTCCCATAGAGTCTTTGCTTGGACCAAATCCCCGGCCTTTACCAATGCTTTTAACAGTATATTATATGTGACCACATTAGGCTTACAACCCAGTTCCGCCATTGAAGACATGACCTTTAAAGCCCCCTTGATATCATTTTGCTTACATAAACCGTCCATGTACACATTATAAGTGTAAACGTCAGGAACCAAGCCTAGCACAAGCAATTCATCGAAAAACTCGTCTGCCTTCGGGTAATCCCCATCTGCAATAACGCCCTTCAGCACGATGGTATAGCAAACAATATCGGGCTCTACTCGATCATGTTTCATCTGGTTAAAAACACCTATACCTTCTCTTCCTCTTCCTCCATCGATCAGAAACTTCATTATATTTGCATAGTCCCTCGAACCTGGGCAAAACCCAGTTCTTTTCAAATGTTCCAGAAATGTGATGACATCAAAGCTTGACGCATCTTTTTGCTTACAGAGAGAACTCAATAGCTGAGAGTACAACCTCGGATCAACAATATGACCGTCCTCTGTCATGTATTCTATCAACTCCATAGCAGAATCTACCTCGCCAATTCTACAAAGGGCACCGATCAATATTCTAAAGGTCGATTCTTCGAGCCTAATTCCCATACTAGAAGCTTTCGACAAGACCTCATGAACTCTTTTCAGACTATGCCTTTTTCTAACAAGAACAGAGAGCAAGGCATTGAGAGAGACAGCAGAAGGTACACACCTGAAATTGGGCATTCTGGAGAAAACATCAATGGCCTCTTCGGCTCGACCGGAAATTCCGTAAACCCTGATGACATCGACGAAAATGGATTCGGGTGACTCGAAATTCTCGGACTTTTCGAGATGATCGAGTACAGAGGCGATGCTTTCTGGCTGAGAGGTTTTAGCTAGGGTTTTTATCACGAAGCTGTAAGCTTGAGGCGTGGGGTCGCAGTTATGGAGGCGGAATGAGCTTATGAGGCGCGACAAAACACTGTTCTCGCTCGAACACTCCTGTTGACGAACTGGGTTCCCCGAATACACGACCAGAACTCGTCTAAGTTCTTCCATGGCGTCTCTGTGTTTGAGATTTTCGTGCCATTTTGTTTTGAAAGGGGAGTGAGGAAATTTCCCGTATTTTCTCAAGAATCTACACCTGCGATTCCACGAGGACGAATTTGCCATCTCGATCGATCAGAAATGAGAAAAGAAGCCGGAGAGCGGTAGCTTGGACAGCGATGACCACATGGACGAGATTCTGATTTCGGCACCGAAGAATGTGCCCCGTTTAAACTGTTGGAGCTCCCAATGTGTGTCGGCACCCCCAAATTGTCTACGGGGAGAGTCAGGGCGTTTGACTATCATTGGGCCACATAAATTTCAACGGATACACCACTCAAAACATCACGTATAATATCCTAAAAAGAGTATATTATCCTAATGATTCCGTGTAATTTGTTTATTCTAAAAAAGTTATCATTGTGATGTTATAATTAATTCTAAATACAGTTATAATTGAATCGCAAAAAATTTATCTATCAAATTTTAAAAATAAATTTACCTTGCGGTCATAAATATTTCTTATTTGGGAAATCCCAAAAAAATATCGTAAAAAATGTGAAAAGATAGAACAAGTAAAAACGAACTGGGCTTTAATGGGCCGAAGAAGAGAAGAAAATGGGTCGAGAAAATGAAAATTTCAAACAACGTTAAATATGATTTCAGTTGATGAGGGAGTTAAATATGATCGTTAATTCTAATTAACATGTCAATTAAAGCAAGCTCACGGGTTGAAATCCAGCGTCCATTATTCCCAACACACGTAATCGTATATTATACCCAAATCAAAATTTGTCGAAAATATTAAAAACAATTAGCCACTTAAAATTATTTTATTTTCAAGTTTTATCGTTGACAAAGTCGTCAGGCGCGTGATTTGTCTCGATAAATAGGCGCGTGTAGCGGGAAAAAGCTCCCTTAAACTGAGAATTGATAGAAATCGGAAAAAAAGGGAGGAGCGGGTTTTTGAAAAGGGGAAGAAGCGAAAAGCGGCAAAACCGAAGATTCCAGCTGAATCTGTCTATCTATCTGTGCTCGAAGGGGGAAAGGAGAAGATTGGATCTTCTATGGTTTTTTCTGGTTCCTGGAAATTTCCGGAAACTTGAATAAGATTTTCTGTATCGGTTGTCGCTCGGGCAGTTCCGGTGATTTGTGCCTCGGTCTTCTTTGTGATCGTGTTGGATTTCCGACTAAAGATGTCATCGTCTTCGGCTTCGGCGTCTGTAGCGGTGGATAAGGCGACGAGCAATCTTCTGCTTGGTCCTGATTGGACGATGAACATGGAAATCTGTGATTCCGTCAATTCTCATCACTGGTAAATTTTCATCAGCTTTACACTGTGTTCCAGTATGCACGTAAAATCATGGTTGGAATATGGTTCTGGATCTTGTTGACTTTGTATTCGCTCGAATTCATTGTAGTTCATGCCAAAAATGCCTCTCGATTATGCAAGTTTAAGAAAAGTCGGCCTGCAGAAACTTGCAATCGCATGCAAAGTTGGGGATAACAGAAAGCCAGAAAGCAAAAACAAAAGAGAAACATTGAAGAATCCTGACATATGTACTTGGTTTTTTGGTTGCTTTGTTATGTATTCGGTCCTGTTCTCTCTGATCGATTGTTGATTGAAAAATCATAGCTTGGAAGAGAAGGAAATTCGTCAACGGTGTTTATGCGCGCTAACGGTTGTCCCTGTTGACTTTGTTCAGGCAGGCCAAAGATGTTGTTAAAGCTTTAAAAAGAAGGCTTCAACATAAGAGCCCTAGAGTTCAACTACTTGCTCTGACGGTATTTCTTTACCTTCTGGTTTACTTACAAGTTCTCATCGTATACATACATTCTGTGGATCTTGGTGGTTATATATATGCAGTGGACCTTTGTGCTCAAGAGAAATCTTCTAGGATATTGTTTGTTGTCCTTAACTCTCTGCAAATCTTCTGTAATAGCTTCTGTAGACGTTGGTGAAGAACTGTGGAGATTATTTGCATTTTCACATTGTTGAGAAAAATATACTGGGAGAAATGGTCAAAATTGTGAAAAATAAGGTAGTTTTATATCAGGTTCCTTCTTGTGATTTTTCTGTCGTAGTGGTAATACTTGATGATGCTTATGTTCTGAAGCACTTTGCAGGCAGATATGCAAGTAAGGGACAAAATCTTGGGTTTACTGGACTCTTGGCAGGAGGCTTTTGGGGGTGCCTACCCGCAATACTATTGGGCGTACGAAGAGTTAAGGGTGGGTGATCCGCATCATGGATACCGTCCAAACGATTGATTTTCATTAACAAAGTGTTTCAAAAATATATAATTTTGTATCTAATTATATAAAAGCAGGCGCAGATTTATGAGGTTGTTGAGGGAGGTGGCAAATCTATTCGCCTAATTTTCTATGTTCTGCATCTTTTCCACGCTTTTTTACTGGGTGTTTTTTCATATTTGGAAGTCAATTCCGTTCAAGTCCTGTCATTTCCTTTCTGTTATCCCCTCCATTTCTCAAAAGGTTATCTGCATGTATCATCCTGACAGTACAGATGATAATGCGCATGATATATCTCACTGAAGGCTGTTGTTTATGTTGCAGCGCTCTGGAGTTGAATTTCCCAGGCGCTCAGTAGATGCAGCCCCCATAATCACACCACCAGTTAGTCGTCCAACCTTGAGACAGCATCATATGGGTTATGGAATACCTCATGCGGGTTATGGAATGCCCAGTGGTTCTTCCAGAAGGCTGGATGAAGCAATGGCAACTGAGATCGAGGGCTTAAGGTAAATGGACACTCTGCTGTTTAGTTGTTCTGCCTTTTTGGAGGTCGTTACATTTCACATAAAAATTTTCGATGAAGGGTAGCTTGTCAAGTCTCAGTCTATGAGGGATGTAATGGATCTATTGAGCGACATGCTTCAAGCTGTGGATCCTAGTGACCGCTCGGTATTCAAATATGCTACTGTAGATAGATATATCGGCAATTGCACAGAATCGAACTAGTTGTTCTAACTTCGTTTTTCCTATGTTTATAGGCTGTGAGGGATGAAGTCATCATTGACTTGGTCGAGCGTTGCCGTTCTAATCAGAAAAAGCTGATGCAGATGCTAACCACTACTGGGTTAATCTTTTGTTCCCATAAATCTCTCCTCACTTCAATATATGAAAATATATTGTTGAGGCCTTTCATCATTGAAATCGAGCTCTCTTTTTACGAGGCAGGGATGAAGAAACTTTAGCTCGGGGCCTGGAATTAAACAAAAGTCTGCAAACTCTGTTGGCAAAACATGATGCAATCGCATCCGGTTCTCCTTTCCCGTTCCAGGCTTCAAAACCCGTTGTTGCAAGCCCCAAGTCTTCTGAAGCTAAAGATTCTATTGCCGGACCCAGTTCTAGTTCCCATGCACCTGCCACCGTTTCCGTGGAAAAAAGCACGATTGATGAGGAGGACGAAGAGGAAGATGAGTTTGCACAACTAGCTCAGAGGTGTGTGTTTTTTACTCGGGTTATGTACCTTGGTATTTTTTACATTTAATAAACAGATTGTTTTTTCAGGCATTCGAAAACGGAATCTGTGCCTAGAGACAAAAATGGTCGAGAGTCTCAGAAATCGTCAAGCACAGATGCTGTTACTGCTGTTGCATGCAATGCACTTGCTCTTCCCGACCCGCCTGCACCTGTGAACACTTCTAAGGAACAAAAAGACATGATCGACCTATTAAGTATCACGCTGTCAACAACCCCACTCTGCGATCAAAACCCCCATACATGTCCACAACATTATCCTGGAAATCAAGGGCAGTCACCATATAATAGCTATGTCGCCCCTTGGGCCCGTCCTCATAGTCAAGGTCAACCTCGATTTCAGCCGCAGCCACAACTTTACCCACAGTTACAGATTCAACCGCCAACTAGACCACACTACTCTCAGTACCAATACGGGTATCCTCCACCGCCGTGGACTGATAGCCCGGACAGCCAACCGAGCAGTTCTGCAACTGGGAACGTGTACTGGACACCACGGGCGAATCCAACCCCGTCACTGGATCTAACGGGGAGATCCCTGCAGTACTCTAACTCGTTCCCCGTCAGACTCAACAATGGGTCAGGGTGGGAGAGAGGAGAGACCCGGGGGTTTCTGCTACAACCGGGGGACAGAAACCCTTTGTTCCGTCGTATAGATTGTTCGAAGATTTGAATGTGTTTGGAAACGAGGAGAGGCGTAATAAGACCGGCGAGGGAGCAGCTCCGAGCGTGTCTTCTGGTTCTCAGCCACAGCACCACCATCACCACCATGGTATATGATTGGTGGTCGTAGGAAATGATTGAATTCCGTTCCATTGTGCTTTTACCCTACATTCTTTCTGCTACTGTGTGAATATATATATAATCATCATGCTCTCTGTAACATTTTATTTATTTATTTATTTATACCCCTCTTCAGTTTTCTAGTGTTTTTGGCACAATCTCAATTATTGTGTTTTTTCCTAATAATTTTTATTTTATTTTGGTCAGAGTAACCGATTTGAGTTTGTTTGCTTTGGATGTTGAATTGACCTTTGTGACCATATTCTGAAAAGAGATGCCGTCTCACCGTAAAATACATATATATAGTCAAGGTCAACAGATAAAACATAAAAGGAATTCCATTAATGCAGGAACACAGCGATGCGAGGAGAGAGGCAACGAGATGTTGGCTCCACCCAATCGTCTGGGTTCAAAAGTTCACAAGATAAGACACGGTAGATAACAATTACGACACCAAAGCACAGACCATATTTCTAGGGTTTTCCATTCATCCCGGGGGGGTGTTTCCGTCCATGGCTGCTTGCTTCACATCTTTGACATGCTGTGATCCATCGCCTCCACCAGATAGTCTGCCATCGTCACAACCAATACTATTAATCAAAATGGCATTTCCATATACTTTTCAAAGATGTTTTTTAAACGGACCTGCGTCATCCTTGGTGAAGCAGAGGGGAGGTGTGATTCTGAACACATTCCCGAAGAATCCTCCCTTCCCAATCAGCACCCCCAATTCTGTATATACACACACATGAATACAATCAGATTTCGACACGTGGCTTCTTGTTCATATGCTCAGACATCACCTTTCATTTGATCCATGACGTGCATAGTCTCGGCAGCTGCCGGAGTCTTGAGCTCGCGATCAGTCACCAGCTCCACCCCAAGCATCAACCCCCTCCCCCTTACATCCCCTATTACTGCATCATCACATGTATATATACGCTCACAACATTCAGCAACTGCCATCCTATGGAGGTAAAAAAAAGGAAAGAGAGAGAGAGAGAGAGGGATTTACTTTGATGTTTGTCTTTGAGCTGAATGAGCTTTTGTTTAAGATAGGAGCCAACCTCGGCAGCATTCTCCTGAAGTTTCTCTTTCTCGATCACTCTCAGGACAGCATGACCTGCTGTGGTCGCCACTGCGTTCCCGCCATATGTGTTGAAATAGCTGCGTCTAGTCAATACCCCTGCTATCTCCGCTGTCGTTACTACCGCTCCCAGCGGAAATCCGTTACCAATTCCCTGTTACATAATTATAGATTATGGTGCCACCCCAACTGTTTGAGTCAAGAACAGTAGTAGAGACATTGATTACTAACCTTAGCCATGGTTACAATGTCGGGGACGACACCATGGGCCTCGAATCCCCAGAAATCGCCAGTCCGAGCAAATCCAGACTGAACTTCATCAGCTATGACCAATCCCCCTGCTTTCTTTACTATGTCATAGACCGCTGGAACATACCCTGGAGCCAGATCCACAATTCCTCCCACTCCCTGTGTCATACCCAGAAGTTTTGCTTCAATCTTTTGCTTGATCGTAGGATTCGGGTATTACAGTATGGAATTGTATATATGTATGTGTGTATGAAACGAAATCACGTCAGCTAGATGATTTATTACCTGGATAGCTTCGAAGAGAAAACCAGCGATGTGTCCAGTCGTTCCATACTGAATGATCTCGTGCACGTCTCTTGCATACTTTGCTCCATCCGAGCCAAACATACCTCTGTATGGGTCCGGGTTCAATGCATGATGAACTCCAGCCTTCCGAAAGCAACAACATAAGAATCAGAACATGAATTGACACTTTTCATCACCAGTTTTAGCAAAGTAAAGATTTAAAAAAAAAAAAAAAAAGTGGCTCTTCCAGCAAAAACCATGGTGCCGGTGTGCGTACGTATCGACCCGGGTTAGCTAAAGCAATATCGATATACGCGAAATTGTTACCTGAACAACATTGAATTTCCAGTTGCTTTGACCAGTAGCCCCCATCGTCCCAGCCGCATTGCCGTGATACCCATTCCTCACGGATATGATATCCTGACAACCAGTGTACAACCTCGCCATCATCATGGCCAATTCGTTCGCCTCCGTCCCAGAATTGGTGAAAAACACCACCTAAACCCAAGAGACATAGATCAAACCCAACATAAACACGCAACAAAACATCATCTATGATCGCACACACGCAAGACCGAATGGAGTACGAAAAAAATTGCAGACTGAGAATTTAGCAGCCGAATGTACCTTGAGGTCACCGGGGAGCTTGGAAGCGAGGGCTTCAGCGAAATCAGCAATGGCGTTGTTGAGGTAAAGAACGGTGGGGTGTTGGAGTCGTTTGATCTGGTTGATGACTGGTTCCACCACACCAGGGTGGCAATGGCCGCAATTCACCACCGCAATCCCAGCAAAGGCGTCGAGGTATCTCCGACCATTCTCGTCGAACAGATACTGCATCTTCCCGTCCACAATGTTCACCTGTCACTCCCGTCAACACACTTTTAGCATTCAAACCTCACAATCATCTTGGATATTTTATTCTTTATCGGATTTTAAGATCTTCCTCGTGAATCTCGAAAATTATTTATTGAGTTGGAACTTATTTAATCGGCTATTCACATCTTTCGTGTAAAAGAGGGGGAAACACAGAGGATTTCGATCCCTTTGTTTTCCAGAACATCCGAATCTCGGCAACATCTGACGATTTCTTTTTCCGGAAAAAAAATATTTATTCAACTTCGGAACATCATTATCAGGCCAGATTTTAGATCATTTAAACACCTCGATCCGGCGAATCCAATCCGTGACATACGCGAAAACCTCGATGAGAATCAAACGAGCCGATGAAAACACTACCGGTTTGCGAGATTAACACGCGATACGATCAGAACCGGGATTCTAGGAAACCAAACAGAAAAATAAACAGGAAAAATCAACGAGAAAAGAAATCGGTCGGAGAATATCATTCGAGATTTGGTAATGCATGGCCGCCCAGAGAGAGAGAGAGAGAGAGAGTCGGACTCAACGGCTTTGTATGGAGGGACTGAGAAACTCCTTCCGTTTTCCGAGGATCTCATCGTCGGAGGGGCCGTTGTACGGCGGCGGTGTGTAATCGAACGGCGGCAATCTCGCGATAAACTCATCGGAATCGTGTACGGAGGCCGTCGCAGTCTGAGCCGTCGAAGAGAGGCTTCTTCGCCACCGGGAGATCGAATTTCCCAGTAACGCCCTTTTCGCCATGAATCTCCGCATTCTTTTTGTTCTTCTCTTCTTTGATTTTGCCTCTCCGACGAATTTGCGGAGACTACAACACTCCTACGTATACAACGAAGAGAGCTGAGATTGTTTATATAGAGAGAGAATGTACGTGGAACCTATGTTTGTGCTGACGTGTTCTAAGTCCATCTCAATCCCATACATGTACAAAAATACCCCTCGCCGTCCAGTAAATTACGAACGGCCCCTGCATCTCGCGTGGCGTAATCTATTGTAACGGTTCATATCTGTAATTTCTGTTGTCTTAATTTTAGAAAAGTATTCCCCCATTTTTGGGAAGTTCTTCTATTCTATCATCCATGCATTTTGAGATTTATACAACTCATTTTTACTGCACATTTTATTGGTAAATTGTTGAAAATATTACTAAATTTTTATTTTTTATTTATAGAAAACAAATCATCCTGGCAAAATATGTCGACATGGGTTGAAAAATCATTTACCAAATTGACCGTGTGATGCCTCAGACCATAAAAAAATTCCTACCTTAATCAATATCAATGACAATAGGTAGAAATTTGCGAAATGATGTCTTTATTCATGACCAGAATAACATATAAATAGATGAAAGTTTTACATTGAATAAGTAAACTAAATAAAATAATAAATATTTCTAAATATATATTTTTCGGATTTGATAAGATTGATATATCTCGTAATATTTTTTAAGATCCGGTATATCTCAACATCCCCTTCAAGTTGGAGTGTGGAAGATCATGAAACGCCCAACTTGATGAAAAGATGATCAAACGCATGCCGCTTGAACTACATTATCTTGCGAACTTGTGTCTTAGAAGACATAACTAAAAAAAATCAATCAAACGACTGCGTTGCAACTTTGGCACCACGCACAAAAGAATCGTTTGATGATAAAAAAAACGACAATCGCGGTGCAGAAAGAAGTCTCGGGAATAACTCTGATTCATCCGAGATTGAAAGGCAACTAAGCGAAAGCGTTTAATGACAACAAATTTTTTGGCAATAATAAAATGATTGGCGGTTATGCGAATAATCTTTAGAAAAATGTGGGATTATGAGAGAAAAATAAAACAAAAATAAAATGACTCTCTCATTCTTAATTAAAAAAAAAACTCGAAATGATATTACCACTGGATCGTTATATCTTCACTTTCATTATCAACCATCATTTTTATGAAGAAAAAAAATTAGAAAAAAATAAGAAGCTCTGATACCATGTAGAAATTTGCGGAATGATGTCTTTATTCATGACCAGAATAACATATAAATAGATGAGAGTTTTACATTGAATAAGTAAACTAAATAAAATAATAAATATTTCTAAATATATATTTTCCGAATTTGATAAGATTGATATATCTCGTAATATTCTTCAAGATCTGGTATATCTGAACACAATAATATATAACAATTTGGGGAATAGTTTGTTTGTAAATAAACAAAAAATAACCCCACAATTGAGAGGCAATTTTCACCTGAGAAATCAATGATATTTGTTCACTTAAGAGTATATCATTTAAAACTTCCTATATAAAGTACACAAGTGTAGCCAACGTTTGAAAAACAAACTATATGTGCATGGTAACTAACTAAAAACATATAGATTTTTTTTTTTTACGTGCCGCATATATTAATTAATACAGCAAAACTATCAAATTTTAACAAATTATAAAAATCAAATTTAAGGAAAGAAAAAAAAAACTTTTATTCTACATTTGTATTAGTATTCAATGTGCTTGGAATCTATAAGCTGCCAATATCTAAATGTTGGTGTCAGAAACGGAAACAAATCTAGGAATGTTGGTGTCAGAAACGGAAACAAATCTAGGATAATTGAATACCTAAGTAAATAATTAAACCAAAAAAAAATTGTTCGTCCGTTCGACGTAAAAAAAAACGTGGTGGATTTGCTTGCACCGACTCTATAGAAGTAGAACCCACAAACGCAATCATACTGTTACACGTGTAAAATCACGTCAATGGTGCACGTGGCCAGTCGTGCGTACCTCCGTGGACCTGTGAATATTCTAGAATCTAAACAATCAAATTACAATATCACCCTTTGGTTTTCTTTCTGTATTTTCCTGCGGATAAAAAAACATGATAAGATTTCCATGTGATGTTGGTTGGAACAATGATTCTAATCACGTATCAAAGAAAACCAACACTTTCAGAAAAATACTAATCCATGGCTGGGCCTTATTACCAATGGACAGGTGCATTTTGGGAAACGGAAATTACCACTCAATTTTCGGATAATAAGAAATTTACATTGGGCCAGGGCCCATTAAACGAAGCCTCTATAAGAAAAGCAGAGCCTTTACGCTTTTTGGCGCCAGGGCATTCGCGCGCAATGCTGACGTCATCAGGAGGCATAATGATATTACACGTGGCAGACAAAGGCAAGGGGTTCCCCCACTTTCAGGATCTTTTGTCCACTCGAGCCATTTTAACTCAAATTGACCAAAATAAATTGTAATTAAAAAATCGTTACCCCACATAACTTAACACCTACCTAATACTCAACGAATCCCCGGCGTCTCTTGTAAATATATAAAAAAATATTCATTACAGATAAAAGTTTCGATAATGATTTTCGAAATTCATAAAACCAAAAATCAAACTTTGGTATTTTCATTTCGTGGTAAAAAAAATAGTTAACACTAAAAGTCTATATATTTGTTGTCACTTGGGTCGTTAAGTCTATACTTGGATATAATTAATCCTAAATTTTGTATTATATTAAGGAATTCATTGTTTAGACTTATTTAAAACTCGGATTTTCCGGATGCCATCATCAGAAATTTTAAAATATTTTAATTAATCTGTACTACTAATCCAATTTGATATTTGTAACGTGATTAGTGTTTCTAAATGACCAATTAGATTTTTTTAAAAAAAGAAGATAATATGGGGAAATACTGTGTAAGTTAAATTTAATTAATTAGAGGAGTTGGGATAATTAAATGCAGACAACCATTGGACAGCCTGTGGAAGACAAGGCTTCTTCTATAGTGCATCACCAAACCACCTTTTCTCATGCTTTTTCTCCAACTAAACAAAAGTTACAAAAACAAATCTCTTTCTCGTATGAAAAAATAAAATAAAAATAAAATAAAAATATTATAAATCATTGTACGGGTTGAAACAAGCACCCAAACAATGGCATAAAAAATTTGATGAGGTAGTATTGGCTAACGGGTTCCGTCTTAATCAATCGGACAAATGCGTATATAGCAAGTTTGACGAGAATGGTCATGAGGTTATCATTTGCTTATACGTGGATGATATGCTCATATTCGGTACGGAATTAGAGCAAGTCAAGAAAACAAAAGAATTCTTGTCATCAAAATTTTCGATGAAAGATCTAGGAGAGGCGGATGTTATCCTTGGAATTAGGATAATAAGAGATCATGGTACGATTTCACTTTCTCAATCTCATTACATTGAGAAAGTTCTGAAACGTTTTGATCTCTACGATAGCACTCTTGTTTCTACACCGATGGACTGTAATGTTAAATTGGTAGCGAACAAAGGGGAACCGGTATCCTAACTTGAATATGCTAGTGTCATTGGATGCTTAATGTATGCTATGACTAGCACTAGACCCGACATAGCATACGTGGTTGGTAAGTTGAGTAGGTACACTAGCTAGTAACCCAAGCGTACATCATTGGCATGTTGTACGGAGAGTATTTCGATACTTGAAACAGACCATAAATTACGGTCTTCGCTACACGGGTCAACCTTCGGTGTTAGAAGAATACACGGATGCGAGTTGGAACTCAAGTGAGGAGGATCATGCCTCGGTGAGTGGTTGGCTTTATCTATTAGGTGGAGCTGCGATTTCTTGGACTTCCAAGAAACAAACTTGCATTTCCGATTCGACGATGGCTTCGGAGTTTATTGCCTTAGCATCTGCGGGAAAAGAAGCATAATGGCTAAGGAATCTGGTATTCGAGATACCATTATGGCCTAAACCGGTATCGCCTATCACAATACATTGTGATAGTGCAACAACTTTGGCTAAGACATATAGCCATGTGTATAATGGGAAGTCTAGACATATTGGTTTACGACATAGCTATGTGAATGGTCTAATAAAAGACGGGGCCATAGTGGTGGATTTTGTGCGTACAAAACAAAATTTGGCTGATACTCTTACCAAGAGTGTGTCAAGGAACATGTTGCACAGAATGACAATAGGGATGGGTCTTGAGCCTATTGATTAAATCACAGTTAGAGGAATCTCAACTCAACGTCTAATACAACGTTAGATCTTGAGTTCAATGAGTTAAATCCTCTAATGTGTGGTTGTAGATGCTTAGAAGTGAATCATCCCGAGGTAAGCATCTTGGTATGCAACGTAAAGAGGTTGTTTATACTTAATGAATTCTTTGACAAAGTGCTTAGTTGCAGAGCACGATTTGAAAGAATTCACCTATGCAAGCATGAAGTGTGGCCGCTTCAAGATGTTGGAGGCTCGACATCTATGTGCTTGTGAAGGGGATATGGACACATGGCCGATATAGTGTCAAGGAGTACAAGAAATTGTATTGATTCTGTGTGTGTGTATACGCGGTAGCTCAACTAGGATTACGTAGGTTCAATCGTTTTCGACACCTACGGAATTCGAGTTTATTGTGGTATATTACACTAAGTGAAAGTTCAATCGTAAAGACACTTTCATTTATGCGCAGAATTGTGGAGATGAATGATTATTTGCTTGATATGCCATTGTTTAATTTACTCTAAAAATGGTGGAGGATTGTTGGTATTTTTAGAGTAAATGAATGGGAATTTAGAATCTCTCAAAAGGATTCATGTTTCACGTGTATTACAAGTATGGTGGAGGAGTTAAATGCTTGTAAAAGACGTGGTATGAATTGGTTTAGTGTTAAGATACGTCGAAAGAGTTTACGTTCGGTTTTGAACGTGAAAGGTGATCTCAGAAAAAATGGGAGGGCAGCTCGAAAATATGAGCTGGCAGCCTGTTTTTTCTGAGGAATAAAGCTCATAAATAAATGGGCGGTAGCTCGGAAAAACCGAGAGGGCAGCCCGTTTATTTTCGCCCGTTTTTTCTGAGCAATTCGAAAATAAACGGGCGGGTAGCTCGACAAAACGGGCGGGCAGCCCGTTTTTTCTGAGCAGTTTGGATTGAGCGAAAAATCGCGACCGTTCGGGAAAAACTTCCGATTTCTTCACACCTTTCGACATTTGGAGTGTTTATTAACACCCCTGGACATCCTAACACGTAAAGAGAACAGATCTATGTTGTTTTTTGAGAGATTTGAGAGCACTTTTGTGGTTGTTCTTGCAAAACACCCTCAAAAGCCTTTTGTTCATCTTCTTCTTGCAATTTCTTGTGTTTGTGTTCTTAGTAGAGCAAACTAAGATCACTTCTCTCTTCATTGTATCTCAAAGACGTATTCCGGAAAGTCCTTTGCTCGTATAGGACGGAATAACGTTTTTAGGAAAGTGTATCACGCCTTGAAGAGTTATCCGGTTCCTATTTACTTTTCTGTTATTGTTCTTCTTTTTATATCCCAGATTTCTAACATATGTCAAGGTTTGGAGCTCAGGACATTACTCAAAGTTGTATGTTTTTGACAAGTGTGTGCTTGAGCTGACCAAAGATGGGGACTTGAGGCTAAAGGGTCGCAAGAAACATGTGGGATGGCGAACTGGAACCGCTGGACAAGGCGTGGAGGTAAACCATAACTATTACTCTGTTCCTGCAAAAAACAAAACCCACAGTTGCTTGAATCAGTGAGTGAAAGACCCGTAATCGTATTGTAAATGCAGAAGCTGCAGCTACTGAGCACAGGGAATCTGGTCCTGGTTGATGAAATGGGTCTGATCAAATGGCAAAGTTTCAACTTTCCAACCGATGTGATGCTGCAAGGACAGAGACTAGACGTGGCAACTCAGCTAACTTCGTTCCCAAGAGACTCGAACATGTTCTACACTTTCGAAGTTCTACGTGACAAGATAGCTCTGTTTGTGAACTCAGGTCAAGTGAAGTACTCATACTGGGAATACAAGCCAGCAAAGAACCAAAACGTCAATTTTATCAGATTGGGCTTAGAGGGTCTTGACTTGTTTGACGATAATAGCCACAAAATTGCTCGGATAGAACCCGAAAGAACCGAAAGAACGCAGCTTTTGAGATTCTTGGCGGTTGGGAACAGAACAGGAAATCTGGGACTCTACTCCTACTCCTCTGAAAAGGGAAAGTTTGAGACTTCATTCCAAGCTCTCAACGGCACATGTGACCTTCCTCTGGCTTGTAAACCGTACGGAATCTGCACATTCTCCAAGGCTTGTTCCTGCATAAAGATCGCAACAGAGGAGGAGAACAGCATGGGTTCGGATTGCGGCGAGGAGATTTCAGGAGAGAAGAGACGAAGTTTATGTGATCACGAGATGCTAGAGCTAGACGGAGTGAAAACTGTGCTGAAAAACGGGACACGGGTGGACAACGTAAGCAAAGAAGCTTGCGAGGAAATGTGTAAGAAAGACTGTAAATGCACAGCAGCGATGTATTCGGAAGAAGGGTGTTTCATATATGGGATTGTGATGGGTGTTAAGCAAATATCCATCCGCTTGTTAAATCGTCAAAACCTTAAACATGTATTTATGGTATTTAAACATGTAAATCTGAAGAATGAGAACCTTGAGTCTTGTGTATCTTTATTTTTATTGAACTCGTCAAAATAAAACCTAGTATGATCAATCAAATGAATGATGATGCATATACACTCGTGGGTTGATGGATAAATGGAGAATTCACAATGTTGTGTTGTCACGTTATTTCAGCATTTATACATGTCTTGGGAATCATAGAATACCATTTCCATGCAAACTCGTAAGCTAGATTGTGACAGTTGAGGCATAAACACTGGTGGGTTTGTCGCATAAGTCTGCATATTTTTTTTGTCTCAGATGAATCACTGGAGCAGAGAGTGGAGCATCATCAATGGCTTCCATGGTAGCACCAACAAGAAAGCACAATGCAAAAAAAAAAAAAAAAAGTCAAATACATTTTAAAAGAAATGGGCATCAAAATTGACTATATTTTTTTATTTTATTTTATTTTTCTGCATCTGTAACACTAGAGGACAACGTTTTTTTCTTAACATATAACTGTAACCGAATCGAATAGCCGAATTAAACCGAATAAGACATAACTGTAACCGAATCGAATACGATATAAAAACCGAATGGTTATGAATTTTCTAAACCCAAAAACACCGAAACTGAGTCGAACCGAATCTGACATAAAAAATCGAATGCTTATGGATTTTCTAAACCCAAAAATACCGAAATTGAACCAAACCGAATCTGATATAAAAATCGAATGTTATAGATTTTCTAAACCATAAAATACCGAAATTGAATCGAACCGAATCCGACATATAAAAATAATCGAAAAAACCGATAATTTCTTTGAAAAAACGAGTTTAAAAAAAATTGAATCTGAATCGAACCGAATAATAAAATATCCGAATCGAACTAAACCGATAATTGCATTACCTAAATTCTTTTTATACCTTCGTTATTTTATAATTTTCCAAATATATTTAATATAAAATCTGATGAATATCACAATATCCAACGTATATTCATACATATAGTTGATATATACAACTATAAATACGTATCTATGATTTTAATGTCTAATTTGTTATTATTCAAAGTTATATCTATTAGAAGTTAAAACATTATCATGAATATTTGAATTTAGAATTTTGATTCGATAAATTTAAATATGATAATTGAATTTAAATTTGAAATATATATAAGAATTTGGATAATTAAAATTAAATTTCAGATATTATACTCTTGTGAAACATTTTTTTTTATCATATACTAATCAAGATAATTTTTAATTAACTAAGCTAAATTAAATGGGTTTATTGGGGCCTCATGGGTTTTGTGGGCTAAAACCAATCCATTAAATCATTATGTTGTTTTAATCCAACCTATTAATTTATTCAACCTATTAATTTACTATATTTTTTATTTTATTTTTTTCCGCATCTATAAGACTAGAAGACAATTTTTTTTCTGGGAAAAAATCCTAAAAATCCCTGAACTTGTATTTTGAAGTAATATTAATTCCTAAATTTGTAGAGGTGCCTATTAATTCTCAAATTTGCAAAATTGAACAAGTTAAATCCTGAACTTGTTAAACGGTTCCATATTTGTCCATACCGTTATTTGGTCAAAAAAACGAGTTGACCGATCCGACGTGGCTCGCCACGTCACGCGCCACGTCAGATCGGTCAATTTGTTTTTTTGACCAAATAACGTTATGGACGAATATGGAACCGTTTAACAAGTTCAAGATTTAACGTGTTCAATTTTGCAAGTTTGAGAATTAATAGGCACCTCTATAAGTTTAGGAATTAATATTACTCCAAATTATATATTTATGAATTTTTAGATTTTTTATTGTTCTTTTTTGCCTTTGATTATCTTTATTATTTTAAATTTTCAAACTTTCTTTTTGTAATTCAATGTTTGGACTAATATGAGGAGCAAATCAATTATACTAATATATTATTTAAATTTATGTAAGAAAATTTCGAAAAAAATGAAAAGGGGTAAATAACGTGGACCCACCAAACTTATATGCTTAATTAAGACATGCATTTTTTAAAAATATTTTCCCAGTATAAACTAATAACATTGCCAAAAAAAAGTTTCAACATTTAAATGAATATTTTTTCCACTTGTATTTCTTTTTTCTCAGTTTGTGGATGAAAATAAAATTATGAACTGTTCTTTTGAATAAATATTCATTTATCGTATAAATTATATGTGATTTAATATAATTTTCAATCTTGTTAGGAAGAGTAGAAAGAACGAAGAAAATTATTTGAGTACAATTTAGCATTGACCTGGAAATGAAAACCACTATATTATTTTATTATCTTATTTTTAGTTTTCACAGTTTGATTACATATTCATAACTATTAAAAAATATATTTAATTTAGAAATATTCTTTTTAATATAAATTTTTCTAAAAGAATCAAAAGTCCAATCAAATCCCCATAAACGGTTAATGAAAATGACATCAGAACTCTTCATCATATTCTCATGTTGCTTTACCGGTGCAAGACTCTGCAACAACAGCAAATTCTCATGTTTGCTTTTTCGGTGAAGACAGATAAAAAAACATTCTGACAATACTCCTCTCTTTACCCTTCAAGACGAAACAGAGAGAGAAGAGAGACGAAGACGGACATGTAAAACTCTCTCTCTCCTCTTTTCTTCTTCCTCTTCATGGGCTCTACTAGCAGATCCTCAGACGTGTTCCCCTCTCCTTTGTTCCTTTGCGCCTTGACCTCCATTTAGGGTTTGTGTTAGGGTTCCTTTTCCCCTTCCGATCACTCTTATCTCTGATCATTTTTTGCGTCTTCTCTCTCTCTAGAATGTCTGCTCCGGATTCCGCTCCTTCCACCTCTTCCTTCTCCATTCCCGACGACCGAGGTTTCAGGGGCGGTGGTTCCTTCGTCTTCGTCTTCGTCTTCACCCACGTCATCCTCTTCCTCTTCTTCTTCTTCTTCTTCGTCTTCGTCGGGTATTGAAGAAGAAGAGAGGTCTCCGTCGGGTATGTGGATTGGACCGAATTCCTCTGTTCCCGTCGAGCTGAATCCCTTCTTTGTCCAAAGCATAAAGGTGGTTTCCCGATCTTTCTTTTATGCGCTCTTGACGGGTTTTCTGTGTCTGACCAATCATCTGGACCTGTCGGGATGATTCTGCCAGGTGAATCAAGTGGATGATATGAAATGCGAGGAAAACTCATGGGTTGGTCGCTTGAATCCTGGAAATGGCGGCAACGACGAGAACGATGATGATATACGGAGGAAGAAGGTGGCTCGCGCCGAGCTCAAGCAGAGCCCTGCGGTGGTGGGACCATGTGGGCCCCGCTTCCAAGGACCCCATAACCGGCGCTACCGAGGCTTTCCTCGCCGACCCTTCTCCGGCCAAAATCAATCTCGGCGTAGTCTCTCTCTCTCTCTCTCTCTCTCTCTCTCGCCCTTTCTTCTGAATGTTCTGGTTGAGAAATTAGGAGTTTAGAGAATCATCTGAGTAATGGATTGGCTGTTGTTTTCGTTCTGGGGTTTATAGAATTAGCGAAACCATTGTCATAGATTTAAGAGTTGCAGTTGGAAGTCCAGTTTAAGTTAGAGGTCTCGTGTTAGGGTTAGAATTTAGTGTTAGTTTTGGGTTTGTTTATTGATATGGAGCTTACAGAGATGATGAAGGGAAACCGGTTGTGCTTCAATGCGTACGCGAGGCAGAGGCAAAAGTTGCTGGTAGCAGCTACTTGTGAGTTCTGCTTCTCACTGTTTCTGTTCATTAATGTCAATCACATGGAAATTATGTTAAGTTTGATGCTCATCGGATTTACAGGGAATCGGTTTCTAGTGGCTTAGGCTCAAAGATGGTGGAGGAGAGTGTGAAATTGGCACATGGAGAAGATTCATTTGTCTTTAGAGAACAGAGATTTACTGGAATTCAAGTTCTCTCCGGGACTGGAGCTTGTCGGCTCTTTGCTGAATTACAGAGGCGTTTCTATCCGGGAATTTTAATCAAATGGTCGACTTGGGTCGCACCTATTTCACGTGTACACCAGAAAAAACATAACACTTTTTTTTTGTGTGAAAAGACGAAATTACCCTTAATGAATACACGATTTTTATCCGTTCGAAAACAACTTCGTTATTACGACTTCGTAATTAATTCTAAATATAGTTACAATTGATTCTAAAAAAGGTGGCAAAAAAATCATCTGTCTTATTTTAGTGATATATCAGTTATATATTAGTCGTAATAAGGTCGAAAAAATAAAACAAAAAGGGTATTTCGGACTTTTCCAATCGAAAAGTGGGTTAAAATTGAATTTTTTTTTTTTTGGAGTTGTACACTGAAATTGCTGCGACCCAACTGGGTTATTTGAGATAAAAGAGAGCCGATTTGACTTGGTCAAAGTAAGTCCTCTCTGTGTCCATTTATGCTTCCCAGTTTCGAGATATCATGCTTGCTTTCGAAAGTTTTAAGAATCGATGATTTGATTTCGGTATTGTTCCCAAAAATGTTGTGTATAGTCACCACAATATTTGGAGAGATGCGGGAGTCTCACGGAGAACCTTCCCTGAGACAAAAAAGGCTTGAACTTTTCAGCACTGTTAGATGATATTAAGGTATGAAACTTAAAATTCTGCAAGTCCCACAAGCTCACGTCAGGTTACATAATCTGTACAGAATTCTGTTTAAAATTTTATAACAACACAGGTTGGGGGCCTGGCCCCGAATGAAGTGGAACGGCTGAGGAAGGAATTCCACATATCCATGACCATTGTTGGCCGCATAAGGTAACATTACCCGAAATCTTCCTTAAAAGATCCATTATTCATGTTCCCTGTCATATTTCTCTAATATGAAACTTTTCACGACTGTTTTCATGGTAAATTCAATACAGCATGGCGGGTGTTACTCATGGCCTTGACATGCTTCCTCTTCTCCACTACTCTTTCGGTTTACGTTTTTTTCCGCCATTGTCATTAACCTTGTCGGTTGCCTCCAAACCACTTCCCACAAAAACTGGAAAATGGTCTTCCTCGAAATCTCCATTAGGAGAAAGCTCACCCTCTTCTCTTTCAACTTTCAGCTGTCCACCCAATCCTTCATCGCTTCTTTGATTCCTCGCCCCTGTCAGTACTTGCTTAACACCGGGCTGTAGAGAAAAATAAAATGCATTACCATCTCTTGCCTACTACCATAGTACTAGAATATAACCCTCTAAAGGATTTAGACTTTTCTAGCTTTCCTTAAAAAGAATCTAAGCACAATGAAACCATATAGACCATATGGAGTAATCCCTTTACACAGTTTCGTATGAATATCTGCGAGATAATAGAGTTCAAGAGCTTCACTGCCCAACAATACCTCTGTTTTCGGTGAATTCCCAACGTAGGCTTCAATTCTGTCTCAGTTTCACTGGTTACACCACTAGGCCTGGGGTTAGTATTGCTAAGCCCTGGCCAAGTGAAAAAACAAGAAGGGTACCTTACCACTCATCGTTTCATAAAAGGAAACTCAGAAGAAAAAACTGTACTGAAGCTAGATTTCGGGGTGTTACCTACCACGTATCCGATGCTCGGTCTCCCATTGTTTTGGTCTGATAATCCGTTCCCAGGGGATGCATTTGAATTGTGAATACGTTCACTAGAGATAGCTTCTTTATCGTCATGTCTTTCATCGGAAGTGGAAGCATGCTTCTGTGTTTGGACATGCCGTGTGGAATCACTTAAAACATTTGCCTTCTTACGAGCAGAGACATCCCTCTCTGGATTACTAGGTTGTCCCATCCCACTACTTCCATTTACTTTCGGGCGGCATTGGAACGTCTAGAGCTGACACCATTAGCACCACCACTATGAGAACTGCCCTCGCGTGATAACAAGGTAGAAAGTGAAGGTGAGGCTAATGCCCACGATGTGGAAGGAGACGTGAATGGAACACCGAGCGAATTCAACAAATGTTCATCAAACTAAGAGAGGAGATCCAAAAACCCCTTTTGCAACCTGCCTTCAGATACCATATATGTTATCATACTTGAGGTCGATGCATGCATAGAAAACCCATTGCTCCGCATTTCTCGTATCAGCTCGATAACCACCGATGGAGAGCCACTTCTTCCGAGACGACCCCTTATCAATGCGTTATATGTAACAGCATCAGGAAAACAACCATCCTCTTTCATCTTCCCAATTACCTTTTCGACTTCATAGAGTGAACCTTTTCCGCAAAGTCCGGAGATCATTATATTATACGTGATAACATTCGGCCTCACCCCTTTCTCAAGAAGCCTATCAAAGAATACAAATACCTCGTCAACCCTCCCAACCTTACACAAACCATGCATCATGATATTATGGGAAGATATATGGAGGTCAATCCCACTCTTTTGCAGCTTATTATATAGACCAAGTGCCTCATCCGTTTTTCCGTTCTTACAAAGACCATCAAGCAAAATGCTGTAAGTTATAAGATTAGGATGATGACGATTATAATGCATCTCCCGGAAAAGCTTTTGGGCAGCATCAAGGTTGCCTACTCGATAAAACCCTTGGATGAGGATGTTGTAAGTAATTGAATCGACATCCAATCCTCTTTGAGACATCTCGTAAAAGAGATTCATACCCTCTTTGACCCTATTAGCCTTGCAGTATCCGTTTATCATAGAATTAAAAGTCACTCTATTTGGAAAGCATCCCTTGGTGACCATATAATTGAACATTTGTTCTGCCTCACCAAGACGGTTCTGCCGGCAAAAACCATTGATCAATGAAGTATAAGTAATAGTATTTGGTACTAAACCTTTTTGGATCATCTCCTCGTACAATTCTTCAGCCTCCCAAAACCTTCCCTCTTTAAAGAGTGCGTCGATTAATCCACTGAACGTGACCACATCAGGGGTGATTTTCCTTTTCACCATCTCGCTCAACAATCGGGTAACATCGTCCCATCTACCAAATCTGGAAAAGCCGGTTATCAAAGAGGTGTATGTAACAACATCGGGTACAATGCCGACATTATCCATCACTTCGAAAAGGTTCATTGCATCATCCATATGTCCAGCTTTGCAAAGAAGATCAATAATTATATTATAAATTATGACATCGATCTCAATATGTATTTCCTCCATCTTCGTGACCAGATCCATGGCCAACCCAAAATCCCCTGCCTTGCAGACTCTATTTATAACAATGCTGAATGTAACTCTATTGGGCTGACAATCCATCTTTAGCATCTGGTCAAGTAAAATCAATGCTTGAGAGACTCTATCCTCAAGGCAAAGTCCGTTGACCAAAGTGTTAAATGTTACAACATTAGGTTTGTATCCATCTTTCAACATTTGGTCAACCAAACTTAACGCAGCGGAGATATTGCCCTGTATACAAAACCCATGAGCTAAGGTAGTGTAGGTGACTACATTAGCCTCGTATCCGAGTTTCAAGATTTTCCCCACAACTGAGAAGCCCAATAACACTTGACGAGAATGGCAGAAACAATTTATCAGAACATTGTAGGAGTAGATATTATGTGAAACCCCAAGCAATTCCATTCTCTTGCATAGGGAAATCACAACATCATACCGTCTCATTTTCATGACTGCACTCAAAAGTTTAGTGAAATCAACGATGGAAGGTAAGGGACGAGACTGAACCATCTGGTCGAACAAATGAACGGCATCCTCGGCATGGCAATCGTGAAACCCACATCTCAATCTGTCTCTCCAAGACATACTGCAGTCTCTAACCCCGGAAAAAGTCGATCTCGGACAGCTTAAAACAGAGGAACAATGCCAGAAATTGTTCAGAATGCCTCTCCCCAGGGGATGTGTCTGAACCAAGCCTGAGGCAGAAGCAAATGCGAAAGCAGCCATTCTCCGGGCCATTGGCGTTATCTTCCTTCTAAAGACAGAGTCGGTACTCACGTAAACCTGGTCCTTTTTACCCTGAATCAGAAAGCCAGAACACGTTCTGAAACTGGAGTCCAATAAACAGATTGCACGAAATAAACACAAAAACTGGGCTTTATAAAATAAAGGACATAAAAACTGGGGTGTACTTATATATATACACAGACATACGGTTCGACAGGAACATCGAAATCGAATAACAGAGAGGAGAGAAGTGAGAAACTTTAACCAAGTAACTAAGAGATAAGAGAGATCGCAATCGAACCTGAGATCGAGAGAGAGAGAGAGAGAGAGAGAGCGGCGATGGAGGCAGAGAGAGGTTGAGAGTCTGACAGTATCCAAGTGAGTATCCAAAGTCGTAAGCCTAAACAAGTACAAGTGATGACAGTAGCACAAAATCTATCTTTTATATTCTGAAGTAATTTGATAAAAGCCAAATAGCTGAGAGGAGATAAGAGAGACACCAGGAGATAAGAGAGATCGAAATCGAACCTGCAAGAGAGAGAGAGAGAGAGAGAGAGCGGCGGAGGCTGAGAGAGAGAGAGGTGGCAATCAAGATCGGGATCAAATCTGAGATCGATCGATAGAGAGAGAGAGGTGGCGGAGGCTGAGAGAGCTCTGACAGATGAGTATCCAAAGTTCGTAAGGTTAACTCAGAAGAATGCAAATGATGACACACCACAAAATCTATGTCTCGATTAATCTGGCGTATTAACATGACGTGGGCCTTTATTGGGCTGAAATTGTGAAAGCCCATTCGAAAAGTTTTGATCTTTTTTGTTTTTTTTGTATAATTTTTAATTTTGTATTTAGTTAATGTTCAGATTTTTGACATCAAATGACTGAAGAAGCTTCGCGACAAGGCCATAGGGATGGTATATGTTTTTTTTTCTTGGTTAAAGGATGGTACACGTTTGTTTAGTGCAGTCTTTGTATGCGAAATATACGGAATTATGTGCTGAATCACGCTTTGACAGTATCGTGTCCAAGTACAAGTGATGACAAAAGCACAAAATCTATTTGTCTGAATGCCCCTCGCATCCATAAGGATAAAGTTAACATGACGTGGACCTTTATTGGGCTGAAATTGTCCGAAAGCCCGTCTGCTTCGGGTGAAAAACCCACTTCAAAAGTTTTGATCTTTTTTTTTTTTTTTAATACAAACATCGGATGAATCACGCTTTGGGTTATTACAGCCGCAGATTTATCAAAAAAAAAATTTAAATTATTTGCAATCAGCATATATGTTTTTTTATGGGTTACTGTTTACCAGTAAAGTATATAAGGCCATTTTCATATAGAAAGCCAGATGATGAGTCCTACATTATTGGATTTTAACGAGGATCGCATTTTCCGAATGACAATGACTCTAATGGGTCTTTAAATTTAATAAATAAATATTAATTATGATTTTGATATCTATATACGTGAACAAACTAAGGCAGTCCTACACTAAACGGGAAAAGATGAATTCATCAGTCATGCAAATTCCATTTCCATATTCGATATAAATGAAAAATTGACCTACGCAGAAAAGACAGATCAGAATTTTGAATTTTAATGATCGAAAAAATATGTAACCAAAAAATCACAAAAATAAATACTTCTTCTTTTAAAACAAAACAAATAGCCATGAAAAGAATTAAATAAATAAATAAATGGATTGTCTAGAGATTATGAGGTGGTGACACTCACGCGCTATATATACGTTAAATAAAGTCAAATAATTATAGATATCTTATATTATATATTGTAATACGTTGTTGATTCTTCATTTTTTTAATATATTTAATTACGTATTTAAAAACCGAAAAGAAAAGGTGATAGTTGCAAACATGCTAAAATATTTACTAAAATACATGGCACAACCCAAAAAAAAGTATCAAGATGGGAGTGGTTTTTTTCTTCGTGAATTAATGAAGTAAAGTTAAGCAAAATATGTCATTGGAGAGGAATTATATTATTTCGTGTATTTACATTATATATATGTTGATGTCATGCTCCTTAATTCAATTTTTAAAATGATAAAAACTAAATTCATTCTTTTATATTAATATTCAAAAAATTTTAAAATTTTTCATATCCGTATATTTAATTCAAATTTTAACAGAGTTGTATTAAAGTATTTAACTCCCTTTGACGACTTGTTTATAGAAAAAGATCCAAACAAACACTCTGGGAAAAAAAGAGGAGGGGTTAGTCAATATGGGTAATTTTGCTTCAATATAATTAATAGAATGAATAGATTTACTTAACATTTTAGCTGCTTACAGTGTCCCATCAAAACTTTATCCAACTTGTTTTGTATTCTATATTCAATTGCTCATTTTCTGAATATTCTATATTAAAAACAAAACGCAGAGCACACATCAAAATTGATTATTTATTTGTTTTTTTTTTTAATCTAAAAGTGGACACACCAAATGATTCTATTGTATATTTGATTTTAATTGTTTTAAATAAATCTTTTCACTTATTATAAACGATTACTATTTCATTATAATTATAGTTTTTTTTATAATTATATATAAATTAATTTTATAAAAAAAAGGGTCTCAAAAATTTTGAATCCTGCTTCATTGCTCCAGTTACACATGTTTATATGATTTGTATGCATTCATTTTCTTATAATGGCCAAGATTTATATAGATACAAAAACAATGTAGCTGAGACAACCAATGACATTTTTAATGGGCCGAGTTGTAAACGCCACATTTGTTTTATTATTAATACATTTATCTATTAAATAATAAATGTGATGAAAGAGCAGAATCGAAAGACAAGATGATTATTGCAATGGACCGTCAGAACTGTACATCTGCAAAGACTTGGAGGGATTGGTTTGTCATTTTTGCCAACCATGAGACATGATAAAAAAAAAAGGTTTTTCGGTAAGGATGTTTTATTTCGTTGATTTTTCATTATTGTAGTAAAAAAGGTTAATTCCAGGAAAATATTCCAAATTGAATTTTTTCCATAATAATACCCAAATTTAATATTTAGCTAATTAATACCCCAATTTATAAATATTTTCTAAATTGATACCCAACAGATGACAGAGTTAATTTTATATCTCGTATGTCACGTCATCGGACACGTAGATGATACGTCGTAGATGATACGTCGATGCTATGTTAGATTATGTTAATTAGAAAAAGACCCCAATTCTTGATTTTTTTTTCCAAATATATATCAAATTATAAATTTAACATAAAATACCCTTTCCAAATTTATGCACAAATTTGTAAATATTTGATACCCACATTTAGGGGTGAACAAGATAACCGAACTTGAAATAACCGAACCGAATTCCGACCAATATATATTTTAATCGAACTGAACCGATATTTATTCGTTATTTCATATCCGGATAAAAAAAATAAATATAACTATTGGGCTTCGTGCTGTGAGAAGGCTGAACCCAAATGGGCTTCATGATTCTCGTTTATGATTTTATTTTAAGCTGTTGTGTTGTGTTTAGATTCAAATCTTAATAGGCATAAATGGGCCTCTATGGGCTTTACGAACTGGCCCAATAATATAATTATACATGTAGATTCAATACTATACGTTACAAAAAAAAAAAAAAACATTGAATGGTCGGATAAGATCTTATATGATACTTTGCAACGGTCGTAGCACTTTCCATGGCCGAAACCCTAGAATCGGGCTCATCAATGCAGCCCGTAATCGCCAACCACCCGGATCCGGACCCGTCGGAGCCCCGGAGCGAAGGCCGAGTGGAGATCGACACGTCGGCGCCGTTCGAGTCCGTGAGAGAAGCCGCTACTCGGTTCGGCGGATTCGGTTTCTGGAAACCTTCTCATCTTCATAGAATTCCAGAGACTCCTCAGGTCTCTCTCTCTCTCCGTTTTTCTAGGGTTTGTGTCTAATTTTGGGGGCTTGGTGTTTCATCTGTTGCTGTTTACTTTTTAAGCGTGCTTGAAAGCCCATGCCCTGAAATTGGATTGTTCGGATATGGCGGTGATTTTGTCTGAAACGAAAAGATGATGATGTCCCGATGAGTATCTTTCTGTTGCTGAGAAACTAAGACTTGGTGCTTGATGATTATGTTTGGTTCTTGTGCGAAACACCATTATGATGTCTGATTATTGTTTACTGTTTACGGGATCAGAAAAAAAAAAGAAAGAAAGAAAGGGGATCTGTTTGATACATCAGTTTGGTAAGATGATGTTCTGTTCTTTGTCTGCTCCTGTAATGGAAGTTTCTCTGGCAATCCCTCTTTCAATTTGCTAGAAAATTTTTCATGGCATCATATCTCAGAGTTTTACAAATCCTGGGTCTGATTTAGAGAAAGCTTATTAGCATTTCCATCAATGGTGATGCCGTAGTTTCTGATTTTGGTGACAGGACGACATAGAAGAAGCCGACATCACGCAACTGGAAGCTCAGGCGGGGTCGCTGGAGAATGAGCTGTTCGTCAAAGAACGTGAAACCCTAGAGGTTCTGAAAGAGCTTGAATCAACAAAAGCCACAGTTGAAGAGCTCAAATCAAAGCTTCAGCAGAAGGAAGCTTCTGAAAAGGAAAACAGTGGTCAGCCGGCCGGTGAGATATTGATGGAGCTGAACCAGGCGAAGATGAACCTGTGCAGGACAACGGAAGACCTGGCAGGAATACGTGCATCGGTCGAGTTGCTGAACAAGAAGCTGGACGATGAAAGGACTGCACTTGAAAAGGCCTGTGAACGATTAGCCCAGAAGTCTCTGAAGGTGCATTCTCTGGAGAAGGAGGTGGATGGTACTGAAACAAGGCTGAGATTCGCCAAGGAGAATTGCCCCGAGAACGCCTCAGAAATCTTAAAGGGGGTTCAGAGATTGAGCCGGGAAGCCGAGGAGTTCAAGAAGATGGGAGAGAACGCGAAATCAGCAGTAGTGAGAGCCATGGCTGAGATCGAAGACACGAGAAACAAGATCAAGACTGCCGAGATAAGGCTGGTGGCCGCTAGAAAGATGAAGGAAGCCGCCAGAGCAGCTGAAGCAGTGGCACTTGCTGAAATCAAGGCTGTGACGACGGGAAGCAAGAACAATGATGTAGGGATGATCTCGGCTGAAGAGTATGCTTATCTAACGCAAAACTCTAAAGATGCCGAGGAAAAAGCCAGGAAACGAGTGGAAGATGTCGTGTCTAGAGTCGACGAAGCAAACGTATCTAAGACAGAGATTCTGCAGAAAGTAGACAAGGCTGCCAAAGAAATCACAACCAGCAAGAGGGCACTAGAGGAAGCCCTCGAGAGAGTCAAGGCGGCTAACTCTGCCAAGCTAGAAGCAGAAGAGGCGCTCCGGAAATGGGGGTCGGATAACGGGCAGAGGAGAAGATCGTCTTCGGTGAACAACAGGGCGAAGTTCAAGAACCCTTGTCCTCCGCAGCACAGGAGGGAGACACATCTAATGGAACTTGCTTCTTTGATTCTTTCTGATAACTTTGTTTATACAGCACTTAAAACACCTCGATCCGGCGAATCCAATCCGTGACATACGCGAAAACCTCGATGAGAATCAAACGAGCCGATGAAAACACTACCGGTTTGCGAGATTAACACGCGATACGATCAGAACCGGGATTCTAGGAAACCAAACAGAAAAATAAACAGGAAAAATCAACGAGAAAAGAAATCGGTCGGAGAATATCATTCGAGATTTGGTAATGCATGGCCGCCCAGAGAGAGAGAGAGAGAGAGTCGGACTCACCGGCTTGCGGAAAAGGCAGGAGATGGAGGGACTGAGAAACTCCTTCCGTTTTCCGAGGATCTCATCGCCGGAGGGGCCGTTGTACGGCGGCGGTGTGTAATCGAACGGCGGCAATCTCGCGATAAACTCATCGGAATCGTGTACGGAGGCCGTCGCAGTCTGAGCCGTCGAAGAGAGGCTTCTTCGCCACCGGGAGATCGAATTTCCAAGTAACACCCTTTTCTCCATGAATCTCCGCATTCTTTTTGTTCTTCTCTTCTTTGATTTTGCCTCTCCGACGAATTTGCGGAGACTACGACACTCCTACGTATGGGACGGATACAACGAAGAGAGCTGAGATTGTTTATATAGAGAGAGAATGTACGTGGAACCTATGATTGTGCTGACGTGTTCTAAGTCCATTTCTTTTGATTTTGAAAACATTTTCCCCTTTGAATCAATTTGTACAAATTGTATCAAGTCATTTGAATTATTATTTTTTAAATACTAATCCATGGCTGGGCCTTATTACCAATGGACAGGTGCATTTTGGGAATTACCACTCAATTTTCGGATAATAAGAAATGCACATTGGGCCAGGGCCCATTAAACGAAGCCTCTATAAGAAAAGCAGAGCCTTTACGCTTTTGGCGCCAGGGCATTCGCGCGCAATGCTGACGTCATCAGGAGGCATAATGATATTACACGTGGCAGACAAAGGCAAGGGGTTCCCCCCACTTTCAGGATCTTTTGTCCACTCGAGCCAATTTAACTCAAATTGACCAAAATAATTCGTAATTAAAAAATCGTTACCCCACAAAACATAACACCTACCTAATACTCAACGAATCCCCGGCGTCTCTTGTAAATATATATATATATATATAATATTCATTACAAATAAAAGTTTCGATAATGATTTTCGAAATTCATAACACCAAAAATCAAACTTTGGTATTTTCATTTCTTGGTAAAAAAAAATAGTCAATACTAAAAGTCTATATATTTGTTGTCACTTGGGTCGTTAAGTCTATACTTGGATATAATTAATCCTAAATTTTGTATTATATTAACGAATTCATTGTTTAGACTTATTTAAAACTCGGATTTTCCGGATGCCATCATCAGAAATTTTAAAATATTTTAATTAATCTGTACTACTAATCCAATTTGATATTTGTAACGTGATTAGTGTTTCTAAATGACCAATTAGATTTTTTTAAAAAAAGAAGATAATATGGGGAAATACTGTGTAAGTTAAATTTAATTAATTAGAGGAGTTGGGATAATTAAATGCAGACAACCATTGGACAGCCTGTGGAAGACAAGGCTTCTTCTATAGTGCATCACCAAACCACCTTTTCTCATGCTTTTTCTCCAACTAAACAAAAGTTACAAAAACAAATCTCTTTCTCGTATGAAAAAATAAAATAAAAATAAAATAAAAATATTATAAATATTAATATACTGAGTCTGAGTGCCATTGTCTTGGATAATTTTATGACACAAGAACAACACTCAACCAACAACAAAAAAAAAAAGCAAAGGCAAAATGAAAGCTGAGACCTTTTTCTGCACGGGTGTGGGGAAGAACACTCATACCAAACTTCCTCTCCATTTTCTCGCCATCTTTCCTTTTCCAGGAAAATTCCGAAGATCAGTGAGAAAAGTCCAAGGGGAAAAAACTGCAGAAGCAGAACCCAAAAGGGCCTATGGAGAAGAAGATATACACTCTCAGTTTTCTTCTTTGCCTGTTATCCAAACTCCAGGGGATCTGCAAATCAGATATCGGCCTCGGCTATGCCTTGACGCTCGCCACACCTGCAGAATTCAATGCAGGATTCGTAGGGAAAGCTTATATTATCCAGACAGAACAGACAGAACCCAGTTTCAAGGCCGCATTGGCGATTGAAGCAAATGAAGGAAGATACTCTTGTTCTATTGAAGTTTTCCTGGGAGATGTCAAGGTTTGGAGCTCAGGACATTACTCAAAGTTGTATGTTTTTGACAAGTGTGTGCTTGAGCTGACCAAAGATGGGGACTTGAGGCTAAAGGGTCGCAAGAAACATGTGGGATGGCGAACTGGAACCGCTGGACAAGGCGTGGAGGTAAACCATAACTATTACTCTGTTCCTGCAAAAAACAAAACCCACAGTTGCTTGAATCAGTGAGTGAAAGACCCGTAATCGTATTGTAAATGCAGAAGCTGCAGCTACTAAGCACAGGGAATCTGGTCCTGGTTGATGAAATGGGTCTGATCAAATGGCAAAGTTTCAACTTTCCAACCGATGTGATGCTGCAAGGACAGAGACTAGACGTGGCAACTCAGCTAACTTCGTTCCCAAGCGACTCGAACATGTTCTACACTTTCGAAGTTCTACGTGACAAGATAGCTCTGTTTGTGAACTCAGGTCAAGTGAAGTACTCATACTGGGAATACAAGCCAGCAAAGAACCAAAACGTCAATTTTATCAGATTGGGCTTAGAGGGTCTTGACTTGTTTGACGATAATAGCCACAAAATTGCTCGGATAGAACCCGAAAGAACCGAAAGAACGCAACTTTTTAGATTCTTGGCGGTCGGGAACAGAACAGGAAATCTGGGACTCTACTCCTACTCCTCTGAAAAGGGAAAGTTTGAGACTTCATTCCAAGCTCTCAACGACACATGTGACCTTCCTCTGGCTTGTAAACCGTACGGAATCTGCACATTCTCCAAGGCTTGTTCCTGCATAAAGATCGCAACAAAGGAGGAGAATAGCATGGATTCGGATTGCGGCGAGGAGATTTCAGGAGAGAAGAGACGAAGTTTATGTGGTCACGAGATGCTAGGGCTAGACGGAGTGAAAACTGTGCTGAAAAACGGGACACGGGTGAACAACGTAAGCAAAGAAGCTTGTAAAGAAATGTGTCAGAAAGACTGTAAATGCGCAGCAGCGATGTATTCGGAAGAAGGGTGTTTCATATATGGGATTGTGATGGGTGTTAGGCAAATAGAGAGCGTGCCCAGGTTGAGTTTCATGGTGAAGGTCCCCAAAGGTGGGAGATTGAGCGACGGGAAATCTGGCGTGAGAAAATGGATTCTGGGATTGGTAGGAGGAGTTGATGGTTTCGTGATTCTGCTCGTTCTGATCGGAGTTACCTATTATTTCATACGAAAGAGACGGAAAAACTCGCTGCCCGCAGATTCCCAGTCCCGATAGTTCACACCTCGATTTCCTTGCTCACAGATTATGTTTTTTTTTTCCTTTCTCTCTTGTTTTGCATTTCCTTTTCTTTCTGGCAAAATCAAAAAAAAAAAAAAAAAGAAACTTTACAATTTTGATAAAAAAAAATACTCAACTTTTTATTTTATCAAATTAACATTAAACTTTTTAAATTTGATGAAATAAATACTTAACTTTTCTACGGTTGTCAAAATAAACAAAATGAATGACGTGGCCCAATGAGATACAAACACGTCAGATTATTTTACTTAGTTTTTTTTACAATTGAAAAAAGTTCATATATTTTTTTGGATCACTAAAAAAACTCAGTATTTTTTTTATAATCGTATAAAAGTTTATGTGTTTTTTGGATCATTTAAAAATTCAGTGTTTTTTTAGATTCGTTTAAAAAATTTAATGTTTATTTGATAAAAAATAAAGTTTAATATTTTTTTTTATCAAAATTGTAAATTTCAATGTTTTTTTTGGAATTTTCCTTCGTTGCAAACAACGTTCAATTTTTTTTTATCACGTGATAACAAGAAACACAGACGAAATTCAACCCAATTAAAAAAAAAAACCGTCTTAGGCCCATTATTGCAAACAAGCCGTTCGACGAAATGTCTCTATTAACCGTCTCGCAGTAAATCCAGAACTCCACTAACTTGAGCCTATGGGCCCATTATTGGACCGTATATATGGGCCATTCAAATTCGACCCAATGGTCAAGTTGGTTTAGGCTTAGGCCCAAGAGATGTAGAAGAGTCGTCTTAGAAGCTGAGACCAATAATAATAAGCCACGCGTCATGATAACATACCGAGTCAAATGTAAAAACCAGCGGAACCAAAGTCTCGAGTCTCAGAATCTTTGTAATAAACCGGAGAAAGCATAGAAGCAGAAAAGAAAAATGCAACACCTGAAATCAAACCAGCAGATTTTTTTTTTTTTTGGTGTAACAAACCAGCAGAATTGCCCACAGGAACAAGAAGACAGAGACTTTGGAATCATGGATCCTCGCGTGACGTTTATAAAATGCGAGGAAAACTCATGGGTTGGTCGCTTGAATCCTGGAAATGGCGGCAACGAGGACGATGATGAGATACGGAGGAAGAAGGTGGTTCGCGTCGAGCTCAAGCAGAGTCCTCTGGTGGTGGGACCATGTGGGCCCCGCTTCCAAGGACCCCATAACCGGCGCTACCGAGGCTTTCCTCGCCGACCCTTCTCCGGCCAAGATCAATCTCGGCGTGGTCTCTCTTTCTCTCTCTCTCTCGCCCTTTGTTCTGAATGTTCTGGTTGAGAAATTAGGGGTTTAGAAAATCATCTGAGTAATGGATTGGCTGTAGTTTTCGTTCTGGGGTTTATAGAATTAGCGGAACCATTGTCATAGATTTAAGAGTTGCAGTTGGAGGTCCAGTTTAAGTTAGAGGTGTCGTGTTAGGGTTAGAATTTAGGGTTTTATGGTTGGATGAAGTCGTAAAGTTTTGGGTTTGTTTATTGATAGGGAGCTTACAGAGATGATGAGGGGAAACCGGTTGTGCTTCAATGCGTACGCGAAGCAGAGGCAAAAGTTGCTGGTAGCGACTACTTGTGAGTTCTGCTTCTCACTGTTTCTGTTCATTACTGTCAATCACATGGAAATTATGTGAAGTTTGATGCTTGTCTCTTTACAGTGAATTGGTTTCTAGTGGCTTAGGCTCAAAAATGGTGGAGGAGAGTGTGAAATTGGTATATGGAGAAGACTCATCTGCCTTTAGAGAACAGAGATTTGCTGGAATTCAAGCTCTCTCTGGGACTGGAGCTTGTCGCCTCTTTGCTGAATTACAGAGGCGTTTCTATCCTGACTCAGAGGTTTATCTGCCCGATTTGACTTGGTCAAAGTAAGCCCTCTCTGTGTCCATTTATGCTTCCCAGTTTCGAGATATCATGCTCGCTTTCGACAGTTTTAAGAGTCAATGATTTGATTTCGGTATTGTTCCCAAAAATGTTGTGTATAGTCACCACAATATTTGGAGGGATGCGGGAGTCTCACGGAGAACCTTCCGCTACTATGATCCTGAGACAAAAGGCTTGAACTTTTCAGCACTGTTAGATGATATTAAGGTATGAAACTTAAAATTCTGCAAGTCCAAGCTCACGTCAAATTTAATGTTTCTTTACATCTGAAGAAAACGGAGATGATTTCGAGCTCTGCATTGGCCATTTTACACAGCATCACCATCCAGAAGTCTGTTTCCACTCATTTCCTATCTTTTAGTATCTGCTGTTGTTCATATCCCATAATTCTTTAGATAGAAAGCTACCTCACGAAGGATGGTTAGCACCAAGAAAGCTTAATATGTAAATTTGAGAAATCCTACGGAAAATGTGTGGTAAAGTTTGCGTTATTCTATTGGCGGATGAGTTATTCTTTCTTTCTTTTCATCTGCAGAAGCACCGAGTGGTTCATTTTTCTTGCTTCATCCTTGTGCTCACAACCCGACGGGCGTTGACCCAACCGGGGAGCAATGGAGAGAGATCTCCTCTATGTTCAAGGTTTTTGTCTCTTGAATGTTGTGTTTATCTTATCTCTCTATATCTCTTTACGACTATGCTTGGCTCTTACAGTGGTTATTATTCAGGTAAAGAGACATTTCCCTTTCTTTGACATGGCTTATCAAGGCTTTGCCAGTGGTTGTCTGGTTAAAGATGCTCTGTCTGTACGAATCTTCCTGGAAGATGGTGATAACGCAAATCTAGGTGTATAAATAAGCTCAAATAATAAAAACCTAGATACAGCGAATACCGCAAGGATACGGATCAACTGTAGTACCAGGGTCGAACACAGGGAATAGTTAACACTAAGAACAAGACTCGACTATGAATCAGATCAGGAAATAGCAGATGGAATAGATGAATACCGAAAATAAAGCAATAAATAAACTAAGTAAAATCAGATAATTAAACCACCGTAGCTTCGGGATAACCTTAACGCGCAGGGATTGTTTCTAAGGATGGAGAATCTACGAATATCGAACTCTAATCGGGGATCTCAAGTTCTAATATCAGATTTGGCTCTCTCAAGTCCTAAATCCACTGTCCAATAATCTAACCTATCGATTTCTCAACCTAATAGATTAAAATATCAAACGCATTAACGATCACTATCACAGTTCCTAAACCGATTAACCTATCTCTCAATAGTCTTAATCAATTCATTCAATGAATTCGTTCCGAATCTAATCTCAACTCTCGTTGTAAATCAGAATCTAAGATCGATCAATCAACAGGCCAAGAAGATCAAAAGCAATAAACTCAATTCAATTAAACCGCCGAGTATCGATAACGTAGTCTCGAAAAATGAAAACCAAACAAATCCCTACAAGGTTAAATCCCTAGCTACAGTGAAACGACTACTCGCAACCCATAATAACAAACGAGTTCAAATCAATAAGAAGAAACATAGGAACAGGTAAAGAAGACTCGCAGCGATCTCTCGACAACGATTCTTCAATCTCTGATCCCAACAAAATGATCATAGAACTACAAGACGAAAGTCATTACCCAAAACTTCAAAGGGGATTTCAAGTTATCTACCAAACATGTTTCTCAAACCTATTTATCGCTGTCTACAGGAATAATTCGGTCCACCTGGGTTTGGAGTGGGTTTGGATATGGTGATGGAAAATCGAGATTCCAAAGATCAACATCAAATGCATTCGCCTTTCAACGGGGTAAAAGAATACTTAGCGTGAATGAATGGCGTGCTCCCTCTCGGTACTCAAGGATCGAAGAAAAATTGCGCAGACGAAGACTCACAGCTCTCAGCGTACGTGTGGTGTGTGATACAACCTTAGAGACACATAAACAACAGCACAAACCAAAACAACGCAGCAAATAGAACAAGCACGAGTGATACATCGTCAAGTCGAAAAAGTACAACTGATAAACGTGATTCATACAACCGATGCGAAAGTGCTACACAATGGGCTTTGAAATAGATGAGAAAATCGTGTTATCAAACTCCCCCAGACTTATACTTTTGCTCGTCTCGAGCAAATATACGACGGAGACATGCGTGCGGGGGAAGTAGGTAGGTGATCAATCAGAAATCTCCATGAGTTTCAAAAGTGAAATCTCTCTCCTGTATCGACTAACCTTGAATGAAATCAAGCTTACCCTATTCAGATCTCCATTCCAACAAAACGATCATAGAGCTACACGACGAACTTCATTGCCCAAAACTTCAAAGGGGATTTCAAGTTATCTACCGAGCACGTTTCTCAAACCTATTTATCGCTGTCTACAGGAATAATTCGGTCCACTAGAGTTTGGAGTGAGTCTAAATACGGTGATGGGAAATTGGAGTTCCAGAGATCGATATCAAATGCATTCTCCTTCTGTCGTTCTTATTCGAGCCCTTTTTTTCTTCATTTTTTTTTCAAATTTTTTTTTATATAAAAAAAACAATACGCGTCGGACGAATGCATGATATGATCAAGAGGAACGAATGTAAGAACAGGGTATGGGTTTTAGAAACAGGGCTTACTTTCACCTCGTGATGGTTGCTGCCACCCCCGGACTACTTGCCTGTGTCTAAACGAGTCAAAGGGACAAGGTATGGGTTTATCCAACAGGACTTATTTTCACCTCGTGATGGTTGCTGCCACCCCCGGACTACTTGCCTGTGTGTCTAAACGAGTCAAAAGAAATAAAGATAGATAAAGAGGGTTCGCTAGACTATCTAGGGCCTAATATTCCTGCAAATGGGGAACGGTTTTTTTGGGAAACATATAAGCTTGGGTTAGAAGGCTTTCGTTCCCTCTTTCATCCTAGGCAACGACTCATCTTATAACCTATAGATCAATCCTCAGGTCAAGCTACCTTTTCGGATAGGTCCGACAATTCATTCGGGCGCTTAGATAACTAAGCCGGGTTCATCTATACCCTCAAGAGATTTCTACTCTATCGCTCATGAATCTTCTAACTGATCACCTGAAATCGGGTTTTTTGCAGTTTTTCTATGCAGATTTACTAGATGATGTGCTAAAATGCATTAAGGACTGTCAAAATGGAAAAAAAAACAAGTTGTCAGACTATCCTCCCCCAGACTGGAACAAGACACCGTCCGCGGTGTCAAGTCGCCTTGGGCAGAGGGAAAATCAGCGAGAGAAACCAAAAGGGAACGGGGTAAAAGAATACTTAGCGTGAATGAATGGCGTGCTCCCTCATGGTACTCAAGGATCGAAGAAAAATGCGCAGACGAAGACTCACAGCTCTCAGCGTACGTGTGGTGTGTGATACAACCTTAGAGACACATAAACAACAGCACAAACCAAAACAACGCAGCAAATAGAACAAGCACGAGTGATACATCGTCAAGTCGAAAAAGTACAACTGATAAACGCAAATAAAACAGTCCGAAAATGCAAAAGAAAAATAAAAGCAAGAGAACTAGGAAACGCTCACTGCTCTGGAGGAGGTGGTGGTGGTCCTGGCTGATAGTAGTATGGCGAGTACGGGTATCCAGGTGGAAGAGGGATCAGGGGGGCGTCGCTGTCGGCTGCATACCTCGCATCATAGCGGCGATGAAACTCCGTGGCGTACTGTGCCATCTGATGCTGCTGCTCACGGAACTGCCTCTGAGCGTCGAACTCTGTCCGTATCAGATCTCCGAAAGACTGGAGCTGAGCGCCGAACCCGTGCATGGTCGTCTCCATACTCTGCATCCTCTGGCTGAGCATGTCAATCTGAGCAGAGTAGTCGGGAAATGGGTGGGAGCTCGGATCCGGTGGTGGTGAGGGGGGCATGTCGAAAGAGAAGTCCTCTGAAGGAAGAGGATAGGACTGAGGACCCCGAGAGGAGGAAGGCTGGTCAACATCCGGCATGGTTGCATCGTCACTGGGGACATCGTCAAAGGGAGCTCGGAAGAGGAGACCGGCTGGAGTGATTGGCGGTAGATGAGGACAAGGCAGGCGTACGCGTTGGCGGTTACCTTGATGGTCCAGATAGTTCCATTGCCAGTGTACCGGTCGCTCGGAGAGGTGAAATTTCTGGACCAACGCAGCAATATCCAGGAGGGTGTGGCCCGGGATCACATCGTCGGAATAGAGTCCGACATTAATGCCCACGCGACGAGCAATCATGGTGATGATGCCGCCGACGCAAGTCTTGACG